TATTTAAAGGCTATAATAACTTTATTATAGCCTTTATATTAATATTAAACTTTTAAAGTAATCCTTTAATATAAGAGATTTAATAAATCTTAATAGTATAATTACCTTTATCACGTTAAAATTTTAGGCTAAGAAATTATTTAACCTCGCTTAATCGTTTAATTTTAAAATATTCTTTTAAAGCTATAAGAACTTTATTAACGATTTAAAGGGTTAATCTTATAATAATAATATTATTAACGTAAAGTAAAATAAGTACTTTATTATATTAAAGAAAGATATAAAGTTTCTCTTAAAGTTATTTAAAGCTTAGCTTCTTAAATTTATTATTAATATTCTTAAACTATTATATTAAAGCTATAAGAAGACTATAAAGAGCTTAATGTAATAAGTAAACTTTACCTATACTAGTATTATAGCTTTAAGGTTATTTAACATAGATTTTTTACCTTACTTTTAAGTTAAGAAACGCTATAATAGCATTATATTAACGTTATTTAAAGTTTAATATAGCTATAATAATATAAAACACTCGTATAAACACTAAATATATTATAATAGCGTATAAATCTTAATTATTAAAGATATTACTTACTTTATTACCTTAAATAATCTAGTAAGCTTTCGCGTAAGAAATTTAGGTCTTTAACGTAGGAGAAGAGAGATTAAAGTCTTTATTTACGTTAAAGAAGCGTTCGTTTATTTCGCTTAGTATTAAAGATAGCGTAGAAAATATTAGTTGCTTAAGATAATTATTATTATTATTATTTTTATTATTATTACTTATATTAATAAATAACGCGGATAATATAGTATTAGCTTAGCTTTTATTACTATTTTTTATAATATTAATTATCTTATTAACTTAGTTTACACTTATAATATAAATGCGTCTTTCTTTATTAATTAATTTAGGATTAATAAGTTTAACTTTATACTTAAATTATTCTAATATATTATTTTTAAATCCTTTACTTTATTCTTTAAAGAAGCGTATATTATAAGCACGTATAATACGTTTCTCTTTTAATAATTAAATATTATAAATATAGCTAATTACTCCTTTAACGCTAATAAAATGGCCTTTAATAGCTCTTAATATTATTTTAGCTGTAATAACTCTCTTATTATCTAGAATTTATACGTAAGTAATATATCCCTATATTTAAAGGCTACGAATTATAGCTTTTATATTAAGATTAAGCTTATTATATAAGGCTTAAGTTAGTAACTTACTATTTAAATTATTATTTATTAAAAGTAAATTAATAATTTTTACTACGTATTAAACCTTATATAATAATAAATACCTTAAGAGTTATAAACTTCTTAAAGTTTCTTACTAATAAATTCCTAGGCGTTATTAAAAGCTAATACCTAAACTTTATAGCTATTATTAAGGTTTTTAGCTTAATTAATCTATGTATTAATTACTAATATAACTTTCTTTTAATTAACGGTTATAATAACCTAATAAAAGCGTGTTTTTACATTAATAGTATAAAGTATATATTATTTTCTATTAAAAGATATAAGCTTATATTCTATAAAGTCCTAGTAAATATAAGAAAGAAAGCTAGTTACCTTAATAGTAGGTTAATAATTAATTATTTAGTTCATCTTTATAAGATTATAAGTTTTATAATAAAAGTTACGTAAAGAGTCTTAATTAATATAAATTCCCTCTTCTTTATATACTTTTAAGATTCGTTCTTACCTAGTATAACTAAGTCTTTTATAAAGAAGGCTATACTTAATAAATCCTATAATAGCTTTTAATAAAAGAGATGTAAAGTTATAGTATTATATATTATTTTAAGTGATTTTCACTATAATAACGTTTTAAGTCTAGTAATAGTTAGTAATAAGCTACTTTATTAACCGTTATATAAGTGTATCTTTAAATCTATTAAATATAATTCTATTAGAACGTAAAAGTCCTATAAATATTATATTAACTATTACTTTTAAGAAGTAATTAACGTTTACTTATTCTAATATATTATTTAATATAAGGATAAGAACTAATTTAATGCTATTAATTTAAAGTTATCCGCTATTATAAGCTTTTATATAATCTATATATAAAGATATATTTAAATAAGTGAACTATTTAGGGTTATTAAAGGTATAATTACTATATTTAGAGTTAAGAATTACATTATTTCGTTTAAGATTTCCTAAAGAAAGAACTATATTAGTTACGTTATTTAAGCTATTATTAATAGAAATAGTTTTAGGATTAAATACATTTATACTAAGCGTAAGTCCTATAAAACTTTCACTAATATTCGTAATATTAGAATTAGGCTTTAACCTATTATTATTTCTAAAGCTATTTAGCTTTTAATTCTTAGAAGCTAAGTTAAGATAAAGTAACTAATATTTATTCTTTTTATATTTAACTTTACCTAGTTTAATTATATAACCGTAATTAAGTTTAATATTCTTATTAGTATTATTAAACTCTCTAGTATTTTATAGGTTAGAATTTCCTCCCTTAGAGTTATTATTGCTATTATTACTATTATTACTATTATTACTATTATTATTACGACTATTTTAGCCTTAATAGCTGCCTTAATTACTATTTTAGTCTTAATTACTATTTTAGCTATTACTTTAAAGTATAAAGGTAATCTTTATAGTATTTTAATTACTATTAGCTATATAGTTTAATATCTTAAGCATTTCTTTAAGAGTTAAATCTCCTTTAATAGTATTAATTTTCTATAAAGCATATAATTATAAATATAACTTTTAAATTACATTTATTATTATCTTAATCTAAATAACTTTAGGTATATTAAAGTGTTTTCTCTTAATTTAATTTTATAAATCCTAGTATTTATTTAATTAATTACGTATTTTTACGTAAGTAAAATAATTAAAGGTTATAAGTTAAGTAATAATATTAATAATTATAATATTCGCTTATATATTAACGTCTTTAGTAATTATTTACATTATTTTAACTAATAATTTATTTAAAGTTTATTCTTTAGCTTTAAGATTCTTTTAAATTCATAAAAATACTATAAAGAAGATTAATATATTACATTTTATAAAGCTAATATTTAATAATTTAAAATACTTTATTTTACCACGTATATTAGGTCTGCGATTTAACATGTAAGCTATAAGCTTAATTAAAGTTTTTTATTTATTATAATTAACTAAATCCATTAAATCTATAATAATAAGTGTAACTAGTACTTTACTATTATAATTAAAAGTTACTATAATTATTAGCTAATTATAGTAAAAGCGAAGTTAAGAGTATACGGCTCTTAAAGGCTATATTAATAAGCTATAATTTCATTATAACCTATAAATAGCATTAATTTAGTTTTCTCTTAATATAATTACTCTTCTTATTTATATATTATATTATTATTATTAACTTAAATAAGGCAAATAACTTTAAAATTTCTATTACCTTAATAATTCGCTTTTTAGCGTTAACTTTAAATTATTAATTTTAAGTATTTAAGGTAATTACTTATAAAAGTAGCGTTAAGTCCTAGCCTATTATTCGTGTAAAGTTATTAGGTAAGAGGGTTTTTCTTTTATTATAGTTATTAATAATATATTAACTACGAAGTTAAAGTGCTAAATACTAGTGTTTTTACTATAATTATATAATTAAAATAATAGCTTTAATAAGACTAAATTTACTATAAATTACCGTTTTAAAGAGGTTTTAAGTTTAATTTTAGCGGTTATTATTTTTTTTAATAATAAAGCTTAAGAAAGGTAAGCTATTAATAATTAATAAAGGCTTTAAGCACGAATTTAAAAGCTTTACTAGCCTTAATCTTCTTAATAGCCTTCTTCTTATTTCTTTTACGTTTTATAAGGCTCTTTATAGCTTCTTATCTCTTAAAGAGGCTTATAATATACTATAAGTTAAGATTCTTATCATTTAATAATATTATAATTAATTAATTATAGTATTTTACGCGTAGGTTATATATATAAGCTATAATAAATGGTTTATAACCTTAATTATTACTTATAATACTTAAATTAATAAAAGATAAAGATAAAAAGAGTTAATAAAAGGTTTATAATAATACTTTAAGAGTAAGAGAGCTTATAACCTATAAAGGAAGGTAAGGCTAATAAAATAATAAATACATTAAACTATCTTAGCTAAACTAATAATAAGGCTAATAAGCCGGGAATGTGCGATGTTATAGGCATCGCGCGAGGCTGAACCCTTATCACGTGACCACCCTCAACATTGGGAACGAGTCACTAATCGACGTTGTGATCCAGTGGGCCACACACACAGAGAGAGAACCAAGATGGGACACTTATAAGCTGAATATCGGGAAAATTCAGCCTAGGGCCGCTATTGCGGCATCATTTTGGCTCAGTGATCGAGCCTGATGACCATTCTGACACATTATAACATGTGATTGTCCCGTGGTCGCGACACCGTCTTTGTTGATGTGAAGGATAAAGGGAGATAAGAATCCTGACTACCCGGGAGTCCTTTCACTTAGTCGAGATCATGTGAAATACACACGTGAATCAAATAATGAACAGTCAACTGGCGCGGCCCCCTTGTTCATTGTTGCAGAAGTCTTCAAAGACGGAGTGTAACCTCCAATAAATTCACCTTACCCAGCGACAGCAGACCTTGAATGAAAAGAACACCATCTAATAATGAACCAATACGTACCACCTTACATTTTGCTGAGACATTTCTCATGGCTCGAGCTTAATGCAGCTGCAGGGGTTACGAAGAATAGAGGGCAGTTGACCACGGGTCGAACAACCGAGCTACAACCATTTTCTGCAAAAAGAAAAATCCAACCAAGATTGCTGTATCTTGCCCCACTCAATCAGTGTATACGGTAAACTCGTTAAATAATGCAGAAGATAAGCCACTAGTGACCAAATTATCACCGCGCACATCATCTTTCTTTTTAGAAACGCTAAGCACTAACAAGGAACCGGATGACCTCTATTTCTTCTTTTCATTACCAATACTCCACGACTAGCAAAGCAGTTGATGAGTCCGTTAGAGACTAACGCGCCGTTCTCCACCTCCGTTTGGCAAGGCGCCCGATTAACACTCAATGCACGGTTAGCAATGTGGTATCGGCCGCGAACGATGACTCTCCACCGCTTCGAAAGCTACAAAATACAGCTCCCAAACACGGCGCTGCTGTCACACGGTTACAGCAGGGCTACGATGACGGGGCCTAGGGCAGAAGGCCCTCAACTTTAGTCAACTTCAGGCCTTAGGAACGCCAAGGACCTCTAATACCCAAGACTCGACTGTTATTAGATGAATTGGGATATTGACCCCAAGCCCTCCTTGAGCCCTTGTCACACTTTACAGGTATCAAGACTGATTGTATTCATTTCTACTGCTTCTTTCTCTCCCCTATGGCTCACTCAACGCTATCGTTACCATGAGATAGGCAGGAAAATGAGGTTTAATTGTGGGAAACAAGGAGTTCGATGCGATACTTCTTTTAATTAGGCGCTAAGCCACACTCAGCATGTTGATATAACATATTCACAAAACTGGTATTAATACACAGAAAGTACGGTAATGATACATTGTGCGTTTAGTTCGCTAATTGTTATCATCAGCCGTGGCTGCTCTTTTTAATCTATATTTATGGGACGATCATATTGACAGGCTGTTGATAGCTATAGCAGCTACGTGAGAGTCGCAACTGGCTTTAAAGCTCGTGGTTAACTGCCCTGGGAGGAATCGGAGAAGAGCCCGGCCCCCGGAAAGTCAGCTGTTGCCACAGTTGATTGGAACGATGGCATCATCAGATTATAAATTTTAGTTGCATGATAGAAGACACAGAAAGATCTTAACAAACCGCTGCCAGCATTTATTACGACCAAAACCGAGCAATAGATGCATGTTATTCATGCTTGCTATGAGCGTTATAGCACGGGGCGAGGTCCGGACTGCCAGTGAAATGTATGGCCCTACTGGCAAATTTTGGGACGTAGCATGCTCAACTAGTCCTGCTTGTGTGGCAGCATCTAGCATCTTTTTATCCCATCCGACAGTATAGTCGTAAGGGACTAGTTTGAAAGTGACCCTACTACTCCGAGTCAATAAACATGAAATCGTTCTCAACTATAAAATGAGCACCATCCACGAGCTTGGCTAGACATGTATTACTAGAAAAACATGAAAGTCGACAAATCGAGACAAATTAGGTAATATGCTCCTATTATCGTATTGCAGTGAGACGTAAAAAAATTAACCGGACAGGAAACCAGTGGATACTTCCAGACAGGCAATATATTCCGCCACAAGCCGCAGACTGTAGAAACAACCTTCTGAAACCCGGCTCGGCCAAATCAAGTAATATCCAGCGCGATGGGATGTTTGGCCAATGGGTAGCACGACATTTCGACCCATGCATGATAAATGCCCGACTGGCGCGCCCAGGTCCCCGCATTTTGCCGTTTGACAAAAGATGAGCAAAAATGAGTCATTCTGACTCTTGGCGATTTGGGAAGGAACATTACTAGAGTTGTAGGGATACAGTGCGGCGCACGCTACGCCCTCCGCCATGATTCTCAGGTGGTTGCGTGCCCATGCCGGCTATCGAATTTGAGCGAGCCATGTATCAGACCAGAGAGGTACCGTGTTCAGATACTGGCGTCGTGTCAAAATTGTGTGCTCCGTGACACGGCTTCGCTGCCACGAATCCTCAAAAGGAGGCTTGTATGCAGTGCATCTTGCGTCGCAAAACACCTCAAAAGTAGCAGATGCTCGTATCCGAGAACCTTGCTTATATTTCTTCATTTCTTCCAGAGGCCGTCGATGCCGTGTCGACGATCCCAGCCTCGGCATTGGAATACGAATTGCACACTCCGGGGGCCACATATGAATCATCGTTCCGCGACTGCCGGTACAATCAGAATGATTCATACTGGATCAGGACGAGACCCCAGGAAACTACCGTATCTGGCCAAGAACTAGGCCGGGGATACATACGGAGTGGTTGTGTTGCTGCGGCAGTTGCAAGTATTAGTTGTACATTAGTTCGGACGACGGGGGTAAGCTGCGTATTTGAATATAATATGTAGAATATATACCCAAGATTATAAATTAAGCCACAATACAGCCACTATTGAAAATCAAGATTCCAACTTCCCTTGGCTCTTCAAACATGGTGTGTTTGGGAACCACAGCGTCAGGTGCTTTTGTAAGTGACATCCTACAACATGCCCTCTGCACCTGCACAGAAACACAATTGCTGCAGTGATGACAGAAACGGAAATTGATGATTCATCAATGAATATTATTTACCATAAAAGGAAGAGAACGACATCGTCTGAGCAGCATGTCTTGATTCTGTACAACACAGAGACTTGGCAGAGAACGAATGAAATTCATTTATGCAAAGACTTCTTGCTAATTACGGACAGGTATTTCATAACTGAAACATTCTTCTTGCCGTGGTGGCCGAGGAAGCATTCCTCCATGATATCCCTACATCCTTCATCTTCTTCGCCCCCTCACCAAATCATCGCAGTTACACCAAGTCAGGCAACCTCACTTCCTAGACAGCATTTCCCGAAGAGCCTCAACCTCGGCTTCTCGCCGGGCAAGCTGCAACTTGAGCTCGTCTCGCTCGTTGGTAACCTCTCCTAATGCCATTTCCAGGTCCGAGATTCGATCGAGCCTTTTCTGGCGGTATTTCCGCGCAGCCATGGTATTGCGCTTACGCTTGATAGCCACCTGGGCCTCTTCGCTATCTGGATCCAGATCCTCGGGAGGAGAAGCAGAATACTTGCGTTTGGAGCTACCAGTGCCGCTGCTGCTCGCCGGAGAGCTGTGGGATTTAGGTCTTGGTGGGATATGCAGACCTGAAGCGGGTTTCGCCGTCGTTGATGCTGATGATGAAGTATTGAGGAAGGCGTGATTGACATGGTTTGCGGTGGTCCGCTCGTGAGAAACTGCTGATGTTGGGGGGTTCTGCAAGGAAAGAGGGGATTGGTGCGGGTGAGGGAGTACGTGGCTCAAGAAGCTATTGCCGTCTTGGATAAAAAGGTCATGGTTGGAGTTGTGTGAATGATGTCGGCGATGTGTAGCATCTATCCGAGTACTGTTAGCAAACCCACTAGTCCATTCTGTATTATGAGAAGTTCCAACATGTTTCGGGAGAGCCTTACCATTCTGATCCAAGCCATGTTCAGTGCCGACACTCCCAAACAAACTCAGGTAGGTCATGTCCGGGTCGTCGAGAGAAGAGAGGGCCGGGGTGACGGACGACGACGAGGGCGGATCCAAGTGGTGAGTCTGTTGGAGTAGTGGACCCAGACCAAGAGCCAGTTCTTCTGTAGAGGCAGAAGTCGAAACAGGAACCTGGTTCTGAAGTGGACCGAGCACCAAAAAGTCGTCAAGAGGCAACGGCCAGAGCGGTGAGTTGGAGATGCAGGACGTCGAAGCGGCAGCAGATATATTGTGATCACCAGAGTTGAGGTGACGATCGAGCTCAGTCGGGGACCACCACGGTGCTTGATGACTACCAAGGAGGGTCGGGCACCTTTCGCTGCTGCGGCCTGAAGACACCCACGATCTGTCGGCAAGCTGCGGTGACGGCGGTAATTGAGGTGTCCATGAGCTCACGCTAGGAGACCTCTCCTAGAACCCGGGAGAGGCGGGGGACGGTGTGGTTTTTCTAGTTGGTGTTTTCCGGGGAAGACGCTGGACACGCGACGACGAGCGACGTGCAGAGGACAAAAGTGGCTCAGAGCAAGATCTGGCAGGAAATGAGACGAGGCGCTCGGCACTTGAGGGTGAAGGGGCGTGAGAGGAGACGTCGACATGTCGGAGGAGAGCAAGGGAGTCCTTTTAAGCTCGACGGTTGAGATGGCTGGATCCACAGCGAAAGTGCGCCGCCAAGCTGCGAGGCTGTGGAGCCGGTTGCTCGCACAGTGTCCTGGCGTCTGAGCCTCAACCGCACCTTCCTTGGCACGCACCAGACGTTTGACTCACCAGTCGACCTGTCTGGGCACGCTATCCTAGTTGGGCATGGTTCCGATCTGATGCGGCGTCGGTTCGCCCGCTCCAACTCCGGAAAGCCGGCCGAGGCTCCATTTTGACTGAATATATTTGTCTACCCATGGTGTATGACGCGATATATTACGGTCCCTTGGTTTGGGTACGACCAGGCACATGGTGTAAATTCATTCGGCCCTACTTGATACAGTGCTTCCACCAGTACTTCGATGGGTCTAATATAAAAAACTTGAAAAGGAATTGAATATATTTGCCATATAAACGATGGGCAGCTTTGACCATGGCGCTCATGGCATCATACACTCGTCGTAATGCAAATTCTACAGCAAATTCGACCCTGGACTCCAGTACCCGGATGTTTCATCATGTCAAGTCGGCCGTGAATAGTATACATGGTTACCAAACCAAGAACAGTAAAACCAATCAAAGACAGGTGGTATCAAAATAAATGAACAGGCAACGGAAAAAAAAAAAGAAGCAAGGAAAACCGTCATTCTGGAGAGTCGGGAAACTGATCAATGTAACTGGTACTACCGTTCAGGATGACTTCGGCATTCAGTCGTACGCTGAACCGAACCATATCTGTCGACGCCTCATGTCTATACCCCTCGCCGTGGTTGCCAATATCGCTAGAGGCACCAATGGGCCCAGCTGGCCGATGGTGGGAAAACAGACTTGGGTTGATGCTCAGACACTCTTGTTTGGTTCGGCCATGCGTGCCTTCGCAGTAGAACCGCAGCAGAATGTCAAACGCATCCGTCACCGGCTTGAGAGCGATCTCACGGAGCATCTTTTGGGCGCCCCGCTGACTGACCGCGTAAGCGAGGCTGCAGACACCCTCTTGCGCGTGGTGGACAACTCGTGTATGTGCCGGATACTCCTCCACTAGTGAGAAAGGCTTGTTGATGGACCAGAGGTTCTTCTTGGGTGGGACGGAAACGTCATTCTCCTTGACCACGCGGCCCTTGGCTATAAGATTGCTGTGTCCAAACACAAAATGCATGCCGCAGTGCCCGAGCCAAAGGACGTCCCAGTTATCTCCATACGGGGACACCAGAGGCCGGACGGTGTCGGGAAGACTATAGAAGTTCATGTCAGGCAACTTCCTTGGCGAACCCTCGACTGGGTTGGGATATGTGGGATCGGCGTATTTGCCAGGCTCGCGGCTCAGGGGCTGGGTGAGAGCTCGGCTCGAAACAGCAAAGTCATGAAGCTGTTGGCGAATCCTGACATCCCAGTCGACGTCGTCTTCCATAATCAGCGCTGACGACAAGTTTCTTCGTACGACGCTGTGAAGAGGTCCCAAAAGGTTAGCAAGGCCTCCATGGTAAAAATAGAGAGCGTGATGGAGGAAAAAAAAAAAAAAGTGCCTACTCGTGAATGGCGTTCATATGAGCCCGCCAAGAGCCCAGGCCGGGACCATTGAGGTGGTTATTCCGATCCTCGGGCACCGGGATTGCCTTTTCGTGGACGTCTCCGCCTCTTACGCCGTCGATAAAGTTGATTTCAAGGCCCGAAAGGGCCGCGCCGAGCATCATTCCGTCGCGACGATCTGTCCGGGACGGCATGCCGACAACAAGGATGTCTTGGAACTACAAACTCGCAATGAAGAGACTGCCCGTTAGCCAAGACTGCATCGCCGAGAAAAGTCGTCCAGAATAGGTGGCAAGTAAGTAAGACAGTGAGGAATCACCGCTTACCCCGAGCGTCGAATTAAAAACGTGTCTTAGGCTGTCGCTTTTATCCAAGGACCGGGAATGTACGAAGCCGGGTCCATTGGTGAAATGCCTTCGTTGCAGAGTGAAAAGAACGAAAATGAAAACCAAGACGCCGAGCGGCCAGACAACTCGCCGCCGCAGGAACCCAAGCATAGCATTGCTCTCCGTCTTCATGGCGCACTTGGCAGTTTGGGGTGCCTTGCCTCAAGCTTGGCTTGGTCAAGAGCGGGAGAGGGAGAAGGAGGCGAAGAGGGGATGTTTGTTTGACCAGCCATGGTGGATAGTAACTTATAACATGGCAATGCTGTTAATAAGTGATCTGTACATGTACACAAGCACCGTCTCCACCATCCATCAGTTGACATATCAACGTCATCTGTCATGTTGTACAGCATTCTGACCCCAACCCTAACCCTGGTGCGTTTTGTTCGGGCTTGTGCTTCGCATTGCTCTTAAATTATTTAGCGAGCCTCCACCATCATCTCCACCACGAGCAGACTAACCCCCTTCCCCCCTTCAAACTCTTGTACAATCAAGGAACACGTAACTTGTCGCTCGAAATGCCGGCCAGCCCTCTCGGGATGCTGACAGAGCCGGCTGACATGTCGATTTGACGAGTACTATGGAGCAATGTATTCAAATTGGGCAAAAAATACAGGTCGCACAGTTGGTAATTCTCAATTTAAACAAGGGACTGCTCACCTGGTTCTGTGAGAGGGAACGCCGCCACATGTGCGAAGCATGGAGTATGGCCAGGGCCGGCGGCAAGCAAGGCCTGGCAAATGATGAGCTGGATCGAAATTACATATCCAGAAAGACGCGCCAAGACACGGGACAGTCTTCAGCGGGGCGCCAGGACCAGAAAATGCCATGATTATTATTGGTTGTCGAACCTCGGCAAGCGAGCGATACGGGATTTTGAGTCCCCCCCTGTATCTATTTATTGGCCAAGGGCGCCGTGCATCATTTTGATGTCAAGGGAATAAATACTCCGTACTGAGTAACTACCTCAACACCAGATGTTGTGGCTGAGATTCCACGATGGCAGTATGACCCGGCGGGATAACGAGGGCTTACCCGCGCCCCCGTGACTCCTCCCGTCACAGCAACTCTTTTGACCATGACCTGTACAATAGTCGACCTGGCTGTAGGTTTTCCAATCGTTATACTCATGCTTTGCACGCCATTATGCTTGGCTTCATCTTTGGTCTCGTCTTCGCTGCTGTGCCATCAGCGCTGAGCCAGTTCTCCAACCCAAAGTCCGGGGAGATATTCACAGTCGGAGGTCAGATAAGCGTCACCTACAATACTAGCCTCGAGGCGTACAACATTGCCCTGTGGCAGAAAGTTCCCGATGGTGGTGCCGCTATATTGGGGCCAGTCATCTCGAGTAAGTAGCCCTTCGTTTTGCTTTCATACGTTGGGTCAAGGAGATGTGTGGGAATCCGTGGATGGAACGACGAGAGACTTCCCCCCATCTGTTACCACCGGGCTAATTCTGCTCTCAGACGTAACCGATGGTCCGGCATCTATTTTCGCCTGGACAATCGATGTGGGTACCTTGGACTTGACCTATTCCAAGCGCTTTTTCCTTTGGCTGTTTCCAAATGCCTATGCCCAGGGAAACCAATCCGCCCCGGATAAGATAAGTTCTGGCTACTTTACAATCATCGACAAAACCCCAGGTCCAACAAGGACCTCGTCAAGCTCGACAACATCATCCACCACAACCACGTCATCCTCCTCAAGCACAGGTTCCACGACGGGTACTACTACTTCTAGTCCAGACTCTCAACAACCCAAGACGTCTGACGAAGGCCTATCTACGGGGGCTAAAGCAGGCATAGGAATTGGAGTCGGAGTCGGCGCGCTGGTCATGATTGCCTTGGGTGCCATGTTCCTGCGATACAGATCAAAGAAGGACGCCGAGATCCGAGAATTGCGGCACGAAATGCAGAACAAAAGCATTCTCCGCGCAATCTCACGCATATCGGCCTGCGGAACTCATGCATCAATCAGCTCCTGTTGAAATGGGCTGAGAGATGGCACGATAGTCAAAAAGAGCACCTCATCACGGCATTCCCTGAGATGCGGTGGCTCTTTATAGCATTGGGCATCTACAGAGCGGCTTTTCGAAGTTGATTTGGGTTTCGTTGCTTTAGAATTATTCCGAGACGGGCCAAAGCGAACAGGACTGCGCATCGGCGACGAAACGTGGCCGAGAATTGCTTACGCTGATATACTCTTCAAGATGACCATTCGGTATTCGGTACGCCTTGCGAATCTGTCAGTCCGGACCTGTTTGCTCTTTGGTCTGGGCTTTCACAGATGGTGGAACAGCATATAATAAAGGACGTATGGGAAGTCTAGCTCGACACTAGAGGTATGTAAACTAGTGGCCTTTGTATTAAGCACATGGAGTTTTTGGTACAAGTAGAAATGAGCACTTTTTGTTTTAATTAATATCTTCTGAATCATTATGTTTTTCCGTATTTTTTACCTTGTGAGAGACGAATGCCCAGCCTTCCTAGAGACGGCGAACTTTGCCACCGCTCAAGAGGTCATGACAATAAGTCAAGACACTCACTTTTGCCTCCTACAGGTCGGTGCTTCTAGCCCTGAGCCCCATGTACGATGCCAAAACATGCGCATGACTCAAGAAGTCAAAAAGCTTGTGATGAGCCATCTCTTTCAGGGATATGAGGGGTTTGTGACGGAAGTCCGAATGTCTTTTGGCTGTTGGCTGCACGGCGCGCCGCGAAATATAACATGTCCTCCGTACTACAGACAGCATAAGGCATTGGCTGTGAATGGTCTCACTTAGCTCACCCAGAGCCGCACGGTTGGGTAGGAGCCAGATTCTCAAGTCGCACGGGGTCTCCATGTCTCTAACGCGATACGGGGTAGGCTTGATCGAATTGTTGAGAGTTCAATGGAGCAATAATTTACCTTGTTGTGAAGGGCTCTTTGGAGGGTGATACAAGTGCTCACGACACTGTACGTGAGCTCATAGATGAAGAGAATGTCGCTCCTTCGTACTCCATATTGCACTGGGAATCCTCTATTCTCTCTCTTCTAGGTAATTCCCGCTCTACCGCCACTACGAAAAAGGTCTTCATTGAGGCCGTATTGATGGATAAATGAATTGTAAAAATGCCCACACATAGGCCCCTTTCTGGGCATACGGACTTTGAAAACAATTTGTGCTTTCAGCTGGCACAGACTCCTCGAGAGATGTTGCGTAACATGGCCGCCGCCCAAGCTATCAAAATAAGTTAAATCAGCGCATTGGAACTACGTCATGTTTTGGAGACACGATTTGGTACTTGGACGCGGGTCAACCGTCAAGCTCCTGGGACACTCAGCTTGGTGAGTATCTTCATTTATGAGCGTCACCGGTCGGCCGGGCATCAACGCGTCTGTAGTGCAAGATGGCGATAAGTGTTCCAGCGGAGAGGAGTCAACTACCAAGGTTGTACTTCCTGGAGTTTACATAGCCCAGGGAGCTCGCCATGTCTTGATTCATCTTCATTTCGCGCCTTCTTCTCCGCCGCTCGCCTACGCGGAGCTGCCGCAAATCCTGATCCAAGTCGCGAACGCCTCGGAGGAAGGTTCGAGAAGCCATTCTCAAGTCGGCATGAGTTTGTTTGCCATTTACGGCGACAATGGGACGCCCACGACAGCAGCGATGGCCTCAATTTGCACAGGGGCAACGGTCAGCCTGCGCTCAAACACATAAAGATGCGGGAGCAGGCAGCGGCGGAAAACCAAGGCCGAGTTCCCCAGATCTTCAGCCAATCCCTGTCTGACGAGGTAAATTACGACGTCTCTTTTTTTTACTCATGCATATGTTTACTCTAAAATGTAAAAGAACTATTTCTAATGAAGCTGGCAAATCGTGCCTTGCTAGATTTTTGCTGATTTGTTGACTGGCCGTCATATCGCCAGTGGCGCCATTACGTGGGTTACAAAATACCTCACGAGCTACCAACGTTCCCAGAGAAAGCGTCGAAACGAGCTGTAAGCATTGATACCAGAGGCGGTACAAGAGCAGAGACCACCGACGTTTGAAGAACTGCGTCGCACCAGACTACCCTAGCTAGATGCCGTTGTTGAAGAGGCGCGCCGACCAACACCCTTTACGATTGTGAGAGAGGCAGCACAGGATCTCGACATCCTGGGGTATAGAATCACCAAGGGCGCCCGGCTGATTATGCTGAGTGCTGGGCCGGGCATCGTGTTGCCTACGATTCCCGTGGATGATGAGAAGCGCAGCCCAACCAAAGCCGCCAGGCGCTGGGGTGTATGGGATGAGTCCCGGGATTTGAGGCTTTTTGAGCCGGAGCGCTGGCTTGCCGCCAGGGAGGACGGCAGCTACACCTTTGACGCTACGCCTGGGCCGCAGCTAGGTTTTGGCATGGGAACCCGGCAATGCTGGGGCAGACGCTTGGGTCAGTTGGCCGTCCGGACTGTCATTGCCTTGGTGGTTTGGGAGTTTGAGATGCTTGAGATACGCGCGGAACTGGGAGGTTATGAGGGGGTGGACGGCGTCACTCGTGAGCCGGTGAAATCATTCGTTAGATTGAGAAAGATTACTCCCTATAACGTATAGGGGCTGTTTAGTACGTTGTGGGATCAATGATACCTTTCTGGGTTGTCTGATTCTTCTTCTCGCCTGGCAATCCATGCGACGCCAACCCCAGAGACATGTGTTGTCACTTTTTTAAATCAGGAGCAAAGACTTTGCGGGATGTATGTAAATTATAGCAAGCCAACTTCCCAACTACACTTTCGGGCTTAAGCTAGCATAGCCTTTGCCAACGGGTCTCTGCCTTTGCTGGTATAGTGGATGTTGGAAAACTCTTAAGAGCCGGTAGAGATTACAAAGTGTAATCGCCTTTTTTGAAAGGAAAATGGCCAAGTCTTCCGTATGCTTGTTTGTTTGTGTGTCTATACAGCCCTACCAACTTGGGGCTTTTCCCCGTGAATAATACCTGCCTTTGGCGGTGCTATGGCAGCCCTCCGTTGCAGGAAAACGCTCGTGGTGGCTCCGTGAGGCTTTTGTACCACGATGAGTTGACAGATCATCCACTTCCGTGACAACGCTGATGGCGGCTGCAAAACTGCTAGTACTGTCTGCACAACCTTGGACCTCACCGAGTTCACGCCGTTCTGTCCTTGGACTTGCCAAGATAAAAATGTGCCACCTGCTGCTCACTGTGATCACTCAGCCATGCCAGACCTTGCATCCATTCCTCGTTGACAAAGTCCTGCCCCTGCTTGACGGAGATCAGCGAGCGGAATGCCACTGCCTCCTTGGAGAAAAAACCCGACTTCGTAAAAACGTACATGGGCCGCTGTTCACGTCTTGGCAATCCTTTCTCGCTTGCTCTCCCCAGGCTTCGACCACTTTGGCAAATTGCCGGCCGAGTCCGTCCCGTTTCAATTCCAAGCCGTGTTCGCCAACAACTCCAGGGATAGCACACCCGACGCCCATCAATCTGGAGAAACGGTAAAGTGCCGCATCGGGCACTGAGACGACCGAGTCCCAGTCAATGACGGCGAGGATGTTGAACTCCCGATCGACAAGAACATTATTCGGGTTAAGATCGTAGTTGGCAAGGCCAAAATCCTCAGCGCAGCCACGTCCTTCTCGGGCTGCAGGAGGCGGAAAGGAGGCAGCGAGGGAGCGAAACGCTTGGATTACTTAGTCTTGGCCACTGACTGGCTGCTCTTTCTCTGCGAGACTTTTGCCCAGTGCCAGGGGATAGTCGGCGTAGAACTCGGCAGCAGAATCATACGGCCCCGAGCCTGTCTCGATCAGAGGTCCTACAACGAACGAACCCGCGGCGTCTCGAAAGATGGAGCCGATTTTCGGTAGGCGGACGGAGGCAAGCTGGGTCATGATGTTGGCGATTGGCGTCAAAATTTCTCTCGGAACGGCTCTGGGATGCGTTCTTGGTTTCCAGGATAGCTCTGTGATACCTCCTCGGCTGTGTTGCCGTGGACGTATTCGATCATGGAAAAGAGACATCCAACGGCGTTTTGTTCATCCCGGTCATATGCATAGACTTTTGGGATCGGGATGTCTGTGTTCTGGCTGCGGCATACTTAGCACTGTCAGAGGACGACGCCTTGCGAACTCACCGCACAAACTCCATGGTCGCAAGCTCAGACTCCATCTCCAAGAGGCGCTTCTCGCGGGCTTGGGGAGAGACCATGTCGTTGAGTTGGCCCGCCACTGGCATTGGAGGCATCCGTAGCCTCACGATGCACTCAACGCCGTCACGGAACTGGATCTTGCGCACGAGGTTGAAGTTTCCCACTGAAAACTCGGCAGAAATTGTACATGGCTGGTTCCCTCGAAGCGACGAGGCATAGGATTCCAGGGCTTTGCTGTCTATTTTGTCGACGAACTTGTTGATGCGCTCGGCGTATTCTTCCACGCAGCCCCCGACACCTGTCCAGGCGGCATTTCCGAGTGGCAGAGAGTCTGCCATAGTTTGATGGGCAATTCGAGATGCGTTGGCTGATGAGGAGATGTTTGGATGTAAACCTGGGGAAGAATCTTGGTGAGGGTCAAGAGGCAGAAGTGCGTAGAAGCCCTGGCCTGCCGGAAGTTTGACCGTGCTCTGCTGTGACCAACAACAATGCCAAGAGCATGGAAGAATTGGGCAGTGGCCAACAGTTTGACCGTTGCGAGGCCCGCGGGTGGCTTTTATGTAATGGTTTATTTTGGCTCTTGATTTTACTTGAAAGTACAGTAAAGTTCAAGTTTGGTAGCCTCTGGTAGAGTAAAAACTATACAGCTACTGTCAAGGAAGTACTATATGTGACCGACCATTTTTAAAAATCTAGGCATTTTATAAAGAATTTACTATATTCAAACAAGAAGAAATTCATATGACACGCCTTGCGTAAGGGGCTAGTGTACTCTGGTTTACCCTCCTCATCGTACGGCATTAGACTCTTACGGTCATTGGAATCAAGCTGTATGTGGCAAGGGCTTAATCAAAGGCTTCGAGTAATAGCTCAATTCAAATTGCAGTTTTTGGTATTAAAGGTCCCTGGTCAAAGCCTACACGACCAAAGAGCTCTATTTATATAAGAAGCGGTGAGAGCCTTCTGCCCGAGGTCCCGTGATCGTAGCCCTCGTGTAGCCGTGTGAGGCCGGTCCAACAGATGACCGAGATATCTATGGGAGTCTGCCGCTTATATACCGAGGCCAGGACTGCCGCATGATTTACGTAACGGGAGACGTCGAACTTAGCGATGCTTCATAAACCGGGCCGGGTTAGGACCATGGTGTGAGGCGGTTTAGGAGGCGAAGAAGTTAATTGGAGAGATTTTGACCACGCCACATTACGCAGGGAAATTGTACGCTTGGCAACATTATCAGGCTTGGTAACATAATTTGAGAAGAATTTAAAGTGAATAGAGGATGATCAAGATAGATATATTTCTGTCTTTTGACTATCAGTGTACTTATATGATACTAACGAGTAATAAAAGTCCGCTAGATTAGGGAGGCGGCTAATCATCCATCGCTTATCTAGGCACAGCGAGTGTCATATGCGATTCGTATATCCTGTGCTTGAAGGGAATTCTTCAAAAACATCAATAAGCTGGTTTACATTCCATCACATGTCAATGCGTCCATTTGCTGGCCTTGTATCATTTGGCCATCCAGACAGCATCCTTATCATCTGCCCCGCCTCTTGAAAGGGATGTGCATCTAGCCAGTCCTCCACCGTCTCCTTCCGGGCATGCTTATTGTAGAACTCGTCCAATGATTGGTTCAAATCTAGAAAAAATGAGTACACTGCGTATTGCTTCAGATGGACATATCAGAGTGCAACATTTTAATAGCATTCCGCGCGATGGCTGGAGAGAGAATTTGGAAATATAGTCGTTGATGAGGATGAGATGGCTGGGTATGGGCGTCGCTGTATAACACTTCTTCAGTCGCCAAGTCATCAACTGCGTGGTCGAAATTTGTTTATACCCTTAGGAAGAGTGAAGATGAAAAGAGTCTCAACCTCTTTGCCTTCGTCCTCACGATCGAGGTTCTCATCAAAGTATCGGCGCACGAGCTCCTGCATCAAGAAGGAATTTGGAAACATGACTGCGCCATTCGACACTGTCAAGCATTTAGTGCTACCCGTTGACAGAAGCCTCCCGTGTACGAACCCGTTCTCGCGTTGACAGCCGGATATACCAGACCGTTCTCCTGTATAATTACCCCTTCGCTGAATAAATCATCGGGTCGACTCTCGATCTCTTGGGGGTCGAACAAGCTGGAGGTGAGGCGCGGACAATTAGTGTAACGTGGCAGGGAACGAGGAGCCTATCGCCTTGCCGCCGAAGCAGCAAGTACGGCTGTCTGTGCGAGTTGGCAAAGCGAGAAACGGCGTGCAAACATGGCCAAGATTGAAACGACGAGTATTTGTAATGATGTTCAAGTGCTCCTGTCTGGTGCTGGCGCGGTCAGAGAGAAGAGAGAAAAGTGGCACGGGTGCCTGGAAACTCGAGGCACCAACAGATTTTGCTGACGCAACAATCAGGTCAAGATCAAAGTACAATTATTTGAACTGCAGCCTACGAACCAACTACCCACTATGGCCGAATTCGAGAAGCGACTGCGAGCCAAAACTAACGAGCTGCCAGCTCCTGGTTGGGAAGCATTTGAGTCGGCTTCGACCATGGCCTCCCAGCCATGGTTCCGAGCTACTCGGAGTCTTTCTACGATACAGTCTCCCTGTTTCGCAACATATCCCACGTCGGCTTCGGCTTCAGCGCCAATTTAACATCCCTAAAGCGACCGGCGGCCGTCTTCTCGCCAGCAAACCATCTCGCAACCCGCTCAATTTCCCCCCAGTCTAGCACTGCCCTGCCTACCGCTCTGCCGTCCTGCTACCGCTGCCACCGCATTTGCAATCCAGGTGCGACACCTCCAGTTGGCATCACTTTGCACAATGGGAACGGCTCTGAAGATATTCGCGAGGCGCTCCTCATCCAGGACCTTGGCGACGAGGATGCGGACGAGTAGGTTGTTGGTGCATCGCACGTCGCGTAGCTGCCCTTCCTCGTACACCCAACCCTAAGAAATGGGGTTTTGACATGGTAGCGCATACCTTGGACCGGGTCTTGATCCTCGAACTTGGGCCCGACTAGGAAGCCCCAATGGTACCTGTTCCCGGGCTCAAGTGTAAGCTTCTAGATCCAGAAATCGGAGGGCAGGCCGCCGGGGCTTCTTCACCTTCGCGTTTCATTGTTCACGATGCCACTAGGATAGAGGGCGACGTAAAGACGTTTCTTGTTCGAGACCATCCCTACTACTCCGCAAAGTCACTGTGAATAGTAGAATAGGAAAGACCCTAGCTGGTCCGCAATCTCTCCAGTTGGATGAGCTTTGAAAGTATTGGTAAACAGACAACAAAACCATGAAGAATAGAGAGCAAGATTCGCTTTATGAAGAGTATTGGACTTTGTGTCAACTCGGGAAAGCCAACGTGCCATCGTAGCATTAAAATTGGCTTGGCTGGCATCGTTGCTGCTTGAGACAGCCAACAGCACCCAGACTGGGGCTCGTTTTGAGGAATGGCCGAATGAGAGGGATACAGAGCCAATAAAGCAGGAGCCTTGGGCGCTTAGCACTCTTTTGGGTTATTCCAGACAGACGGTAAGTCCAATCGTCTCTCAGATAGCGGGATGGCACCAGGTCAGGGTTACACATTTGAATGTCAAGCGAGGGTCGTAATTGGAAACAAAATGGCCATCTTGGCCGATTTAGACCTTGCTCAGATCTCTCCCCACCACCTCTGCCTGGTCCTTTCCATCTCCAATTCCTCTGGGAATGGCTCGAGGAAGCTGCCGAGTAGATCCTGCCACTCTGTTCTCAGGATCTGGGTGCACCAGGCAGATGTATATTCCCAATAGTGTGGATACCAACCAGAGAATTCCCAATCGATGATGCCAACAACTTTATCCCCTCGGACAATTATATTGCATGGGTTCAAATCACCGTGCGTGAAGACTGGCCGAGGCCAAGGCCCGTCCTGTCGAGCGGCCATGTCCTTCACGGCCTTCCAATCTTGTTCAGCCGCCTGCTTAGGCTTCTCGATTTCTGAGGGCCGCAAGTTGCCCCTTAGCCACAAGTGGAATTCTTGAATGGTTTGGAAAGGGCCGAAGCGGCGATCTGGACGAGGCATGCGGCTATCGAATAACGACCCGCCAACGCAGCTCTCGACCCCCGCGTCAGGGCGAGGCTGAAGCGAACGAATTCCTTCCATCATGAGCTTCAACTGCGCCAAGAGCTTATCCTTGGATTCTTTGTTACGATCATCCCATCCTTTCGCAATGCAATCGCCCTGTATCCTCTCCATGACAAGGTATACGCGTCCATTGCGTACAAAGGAGCACCAGACCTTGGGTACAGGGACGGAGGTGTTGGCGACAAATCTCATTGTTGCTCCTTCTGTCAAGTCGACAAAGGCATCCGACTTGACAATTAAGCGTCTCGAAATGGGAACGCAAGAGCCTTGGCGACGAAAGAACCGTGCAGTAGTCTTGAGGCCAACAAGAGTAAGGAAGCGGCGGATGCGAGTGTTGTTGATGGCAAGGCTTTCATGCCCTACATCGAGGTGTCTTGCGTCTCTAGACATTGGTCGAAATCGGCGGGATTTAAGCCTCGACGGACAGCTCAGATCATTGCTGCCACTCCCGCTGAAGCAGAAATAGGCGAGATATTCAATCGTTTGAAGTGTCGAACGAGGGTTGGGAGAGGGATGCTAGAGATCTATGCCGTGGTTAGACGAACATGACACGGGGACGATGCTAGGCCACTTCTCCTGACCTTCTAGGCTGAGGAACTCCGGCGCATCTGGGATGCTGGAGACGCTTGCGCCTGGGCATGTACTGTTTTGCAAAGTCATGAAGACTATTCCCGATAGAATTGACCCCGATGATCCGCCATGGTAGATGGAGAGGAAACGGAACCGTCCACATTGTCCAAAGCTCGTACAGACCTCGGCCAAACCCCGGAACTGGTTGACCAGCTTCCCCGCCTACTCCGTGCCATGCGGCCCATGCCCATCCTTTCATAACCCTAACCCAGCTCATTTATGTATGTCGCCTAATGTTTACATCAATACTCGCTTAATATAAGTGCCCCAGATATAGCGAAAGATAAATGCTAGTAATTAATTACCGACACTCGGCCTAACCCATCATTCAACATGATGAAATTGTTCGTTCTGAACTCTCATCTCACCCGACAGTTGAGCCATGTCCTGATTTAGCGAGAGAATTTTAGTCGGGTTGTCTTGTGCGTGGGTGTATATCTGCTTCTCCTTACCTTGTAGCAGACATACATAGACTAAACATCGTGTCAGTAAAGGTACAATTGCATTCGGGTGTACAACAGATCCTGCAATAATCCTCTGGCAAATATACGTCCTGCCACTATCGACCCTACCGCGATGCACACATTCTGGGCGACATTTAAGCCTGTCGAGTGGTGATAACGTCAGCATATTAATTACACTAAAGCCCGGTGAGCTTTGGCCTGGGAGGATGTCGGGTACAACGTTTTCTTGCTGGCCCGAACTGACAGATGTACACCGTGTTTATATACATGGGTCTGAAGGGCAGGTTAAATCGCCAACTGGTCCTAATCTGGGAGGGATCCTGACGTTGGCGAGTACGGCTGTTGTTGTGGTCTGGGTCCTTTTGGTTGGATTTGTTGGCGGCAGCGAGGATGAAACACTGGCAGCGAAATACACAGCATCTATCACGGCCAAAGTCTCACAGCCATGTGCTACCGCGGGAGCTTCAGGCCAGGTCAGAGTCTGGCAAAAGAGCGAGTTTGAGGAGCTTTGTGGCTATCCAGCACATATTCGCATATGAATACCCACGATTGCCAGCTTTACCACGCTAGGACGGCCCCTGAAGAACGATGTCCAGATGTACTTGTACTTAGCCATAGTTGAGGCAAGCAGTTGGAATCCTCCTCTCAGGGCCACAGCTAGCAATTGGCGTTTGAGAGTTCTGGTCCCATGTGGAAAGTTGCATGGGCCAGCCGTACATGTTACTGAAGAGGCTGTAAACTGTCAACGAAACTGGCTCGTGTTTATGATTCTGTGCGCCATGGTTGTGCGCGCCTTAGATACCGCCGATATATCGCAGGTGTTGAGGTCAGAATTCTGTCTTTTCCCGTGGAGACCGGAATGTTGAGTTGAAAATGGAGTGTTTGTTGCGCATCCTATCGTGGTTGTTAAACTGGAGCCTACCTTAGTACAGGCTGCGTACTCCGTAACTGAGAACTTGTATCACAGAGAAGAGTCTCATTGCGAATAGAACTCTAACATTTGACTCATGAAGCTGGAAAGAACAACCCGAATCTTTCTGGTTCTATTCTCATTATCATCCCCATCTCTGCAGTCGAGGTGCTTCACCGGCAGTTGTAATTGCCCAAAACATCCGTCTTTCAGCGTGGCCACCATAATAAACCCTCCTTCTCCTTGGTCCCTAATGTTTTCATGCATGGAATGTCTTTGTCAAGTATCATTTACACCCAGTTTTTGCTCTCGCCCCCATTTGGAAGCTGGTGAGGAAGGAGCGGCTGTCGCGCACCTTCCCAAACAGTCAGTGGTGTTCCCGGCGTGTCATTTTCCTCTTCCTCGTTCAATGTCCTCATCCACAGAAACAACCAAACTTGAGACCTTCACCGCCCGTCGCCCAGTGGCGCGATGCACCAGCGTGCCGCACGATACGGCCTCTTTGGCCCTGGCAATGGCGCACAAACTTGATGGACAATTGGCTGATTGTCATCTCCTAGGCCATACAGTATGGACGGGGCCAGGTCCCGGCAGGCAACGACGTCGTCTCCATCAACGAGAAACACAAGTGAACGGAAAGGGGCACTGGCGGTACCGTGCGGTGGTGCCAGGCTAATACTACTAGCCCACATGTTGTGCACTAAAGGGCGGAGACAATGCCAGCCAGATCAATCCGGCAGGCAATTCGATCCATGGATACACACATTGATACCAACCCGTACCCCCATTGTCAGGTCGTTTTATCTCTGCAGCTTCGTTCTTTGCTTCTACAATTCAAGTTGTCATTTCCAACAGCGCCGAGGGAAACAGGCATTTAAAAAAAAAAGCGCCAAATGCCAGCTTCCGAACAGAAAACGGCTCTTTGTATCACACCGCCACGGCCGTATTCCTTCATCGCCCCGTAAAACGCTCTTCTAGAATTCGAAGCGGCACATACGCCAACGCACTCAGCGCGAATGCCACCTCAAAACCAATATCGCCTGCCTTTTCCGCAATTGGACCAACATACCACTCCTCCTTCATACAGGGAACCACCAAGCCGAACGCAACCACGCCGCTGGAAATGGCTGCCACGCCCAACGGCAGCTTGCTTCCTTTGTCCCACAAGGTCTGGTCGTAGGAATCAAAGCGGCAGCGCCGAATGACGACATGATCCGTCATGACGATGCCCACAAATGCCGCCGACCAATACGAAATCAGCGACATGAAGTTGTTAAGGCCAGCATAAAAGTCGCGATATGCATATATTGCCACCGGAATGATGATTGCGGTAACGACTACCGCAAACACGTACCTGGGAACCTTGAAGAGAATGGGTGCGAGAGCCTGAAAGTTCAGTGTGATGGCATAGAAGCTACCACAAGTATTGCCTAGCAGAGAGAGCGTCTGCAGCACTACTACGAATTTACCGAATCCGCCTGCGCTACTCAACATGGCCGCCAGAACTCCGCCTACGCCATATGCGTCATGGCCTTCTTCCCAGATGGGATTGTTAGGTAGCGCACCTGCAATAGCCGCACCGAGAGACATGAGCAGTACAGTGGGAATGACAAGGCCCCAATATGTGTAGTGAAATACTCGCCACCTACCATGTTGGGTTCGTTAGAAAATTCTCAGCGGAACTTGAGGCGGATGGCGGGAGAACAACTCACGACGGAACTTTGGGGTCAAAATACGTTGTCAAATCGCTGGCAATCGCAGCCCAAGGGATTTGATACGCGGCAATGATCATACCAAAGGTCAAGATGTCAGCGGCCGTTACGGGTGCTGCGGGCTCTTTCTGTTGTTTGAGTCCGCTCCCGCCAACCCCAGCAGCTATTATGATACTAATGAGAGCAGGGATAAAAGAAAAGGTTTCAAAAATATGCAACACCTTGAACCCGGCAAAGGATACAATCAAGGACAAGATGGAAATTACAACAATGCCTACATTCGGTGTTATGGTTCCTGACGATATTGCTGAGAGACATTCCCCGCCGACGACACAAATGATGGCAGTGAATCCTGTCAACGTGGCCAGATTCAACAGAACCGGAATGGAAACGAGATAACGGCTGCAGACAACGCATGAATTAGCTCGCAGCTTTATGAGATGACATCGGATGCTATGGCACGACAGAAGTGAGGTGACTAAACAGGGATGTAACGCGAGAGAGCCCGACTTACCCAAAGCTATAGCGAGCATGAATCATTTGCCTCATGCCCGTCTTTGGACCAAACGTGGCAAGAATTCCTGCTGCGATGGCTGCAAGCAGATTGAAGAAGACGATCACAAGGATGGAATCACGCAAGCTTAGGTTGTACACCAGAGGACCGAGCATACCGAATGTTATACTGTCCGAAAAAGTGGCGTTAGTCAAACTCGCGCTCCATATCCAGCCCTGAGCAAGGTGTCGACGAACCCGAGAATGTTGGAGTTAATGGAGAACCAAACGGTAAATATGTTGCAGAAGCGCTTCTGCTTTCGTTCCTCCGCCGCCAAGGGACGGATACCGTTTTCTTCGACTCGACCGGCTCGCAAAAGCTTCCGAGCAACTGATGGAATACGTTCGGATGGCGCAGACTGAGAGCATTTCCCAAAGTCGCAAGTTGAAACACAGCCTGCTCGGTGTTCTTCGCCGTCAATTTCTGAGCTGCTCGTTGGGGAATGGCGGCAGGGTGGCCGTTGACAGTGATTGCATGTCCCCATGGCTGTTGACGAAGGGCTCTTCTCGTCGGTGAAATACTGCTCGGCCATTATTGCAAAGATACCGTTTCGATAAATTACATGAGCCTGGCGCTGGTCGACTCTGTTTCCGTATCTTCCTGTGCTTCCACGGGGACAGGACTCGAGCGGTGTTTAACCAACCCCAGCCCAACAGGTGACGATTGAGCTGAGCCCGCAGGAAGAAAAGAAGCACCAATCACTGCGCGAAACATGAGACAAGCCGAAGAGCGGTAATGACTGCGCCAGCCCGCCAGGTTTTGTCAATAAAACCTGCAGGACTTGTGGGGTGTGAAGATGCAACCCGGCTCGACGCCGAGAGCGCCCGAGGGGGAAGCAAGGGGCAGAACCCGTCTCCCAAGAACCAAATTGTATCACGGACCGGGATGGGGTTATGGAAGTCAGTTGCCACGTTGGGGATATCTAATGCCTCATAGCATTTTGGGAGGGTTGAGAGGACGGAGGGGTCAATAGGGTACGTACGAATGCTCCGTATGGCAACAGACTGCAGTTCTGACATGGGTGGGTCAACCGTCATGAGATGGAAACAGTTTTTTGACGATCTGACAGCCAGTCTCATCAGGTCGGGGAATGGATGAGACTGGGGAATAAATCCGACGACCCTAGGTTCTGGCATTGAAGACGCGGCGAATGCATGTTTGGGCACCCGTCCTAGAAGACATTCAACAGGGATTCCTGCTGACCTGCGGCATGGCGGTTGGCCGGCTTGTGGATCAGCTCAGCAGCCAGGTAACTAGTTGTGAACTTGTAAAGGGCTACGCTGGTCGAGAAACTTTATCTTTCTACCTCCGTCACAGTGGCGCTCTTGGCTGTTTTATTCGTCGCCAGCTTGGCCCATGCAAACCGGGCAGTCGTGAGCATCGCCATGATGTTTACGCTATAGAGAAGAGCGACGTGGCTCTGTCGTCTTTGGCGCTGATGCAGGGGCCGGCGATGTGACCAGTTGTGAGTTGGCGCTGCAGGGTATTGCACAATTATAGAAAAAAGCGCATTTTCATCACAGTTGTTCGGCGCTACGCCAGAGTCGCCTTGGACCATTGGCATTCGGCTCGAGCCGTCGTTGCATTCGGCTTTACCCCATCCATCACTGTTCGACAGATCATCACTCACAAAGGCTTGGGTACCATGGGCGATGATAGTAGTAATCGTAGGATTTATTTCTCCAAGGCGACAAATCAGCCCAGGACAATTGACCAGTTTGATTATTGCCAAGTCCCCAGGTAGTTACCCAGCAAGACACATTGTACCATGAGCACCAACAAGTAGCGGCGCACAACGGTACTCGACCAAGATACAAGACACGGCTCATCAACGTTGCTATTGTTCGAAGCCACACGGACAGAGTTGGGGAGACTGTGGATCAAAGATTTTAACTACATAGGGCCCTGGCCTGGCTTTCAGCTGATGTTGGTTCTGGTGAAGCTTGACGCTAAAGTTTAGCTCAAGCCACGGTTGTAAGCCCTGACAGCATGTGAAGGATATGGCTCGCTATAGATTTCATTTCTGAATGCTTTTCTTGCAATTACATTTGCTCCTTTTCAGCCATCTCAACAATAGTTACACGACGGGAGGAGGAAAAGTGGGGCGGCGAATGTCTGACTGCTTATTGCCAGGCAGCGGTCAGTCAGCCGTTTGATGTTGGGCCAGATGAATGCCCATTGACCCGGGGACGTGAATCCCGCGTTTGCCTCGTCGTTCTCCAGCAATGGATTTGGATACGCCACCCGAAGCACCCTTCGAGAGGCTCCCAGCCGAGATCCTCGACTTGATCATATTGCAACCGTTCTTGTGCGGTGAAGACATCAAATCGATTCGCTTGGTCAGCAGAAGAATCACAAGCTCTGCCACCAGATGCTTGTTTCAGCAAGTTCATATATCGGCTCTTCATCGTGATCGGGAAGTCTTCTTGAGCATTGCTCAGTCACCACACCTGGCATGCCATGTACAAACTCTGGTCTGGGACGAGCTAACCGGAAAGTTTGAACTTCTGCAGGATGAATCCCTGAGAATAAAAATGGGCTGGAGAGACCCGTTTGACTCTGCCGGTTTTAGTCTGGTCGACGACTTGACATCACAAGTTGAGCCGCTATTCTGGCTGACATCTAAATCTGTTAAGCTGGAGAAGGGCAAGAAGAAAGCCACTGATGCCCTGCCCTTCTGGGATGAGTTTGTTGAGGCCGTGGACAAGTTTCCGGCTCTTCGAGCGTTTGTTTCGCGCCCGATGCAGCCCGATCGCGAGGTCCAGTCTGCCGCGGACGGTTATCCTCTGAGTGTACGAGTCATCAACGGATTTCTTCACTTCGACGATTGGGTAGGAAACACGGGCGAAAACAGTCATCACGATACGGTTTTCAATCTTGGATTCTTATTCTATCTAATACCACTGCTAAAGCTGTACACGGAACGGGGTGATCAACGACCACGCCAGCTATGCTTCTCCGATGAAGCTGTAGTTGCCATGAGCTCCCTCGAACGTCTCGCGACCAGTGACGCCCCCGCATTTAGACATCTGTATCATCTAGAACTTGACGTCTTTGAGCAAGCGATAAGGCCATCTCGAGAGACATCTGGACTGGAAGCTTGCCTCACCGAGGCTGTCAATCTGAGACACCTGCACCTGAAGTATGTTCAAGCCCCGAATTATGGGGGACCAAGACTGCCGCCCGAGGCCGACGTTTACAGGAGCCCGCTGTTTGCCATACCTACTCTACCATCCCTTCTAAGCCTGTGTCTCGATAACGTTATCCTTGAACTTAGCTCTTCAAAGAGCCCCGAATCTGTTCCCGACCTACCCCTTGATCACGAACAACCGGCCTTTATAAACTTTGTCAAACGCCATGCCGCTACTCTGAAAAGGCTCTGTGTTGTGTCTTCAGCCGTCAGAGCACACAGCATACGTAAGCTGGCTAGGATACCTAACTTGAAGCTACACAGGTTGATCATAATACGCCCGTTCGGAGACAATAACCACTACGCTTTTGAGGAGGAGGATATCCTAAATTTTATTAATTCGAAGTATGACTATAGTAATCTATCTCAGCAAGCTAAAGGCCGCCCGGTCCTGTCCTTCTGGAATCCGCTAAGTACGCATGAACACCCGACATGGAAGGAACTCGGGAGAGATGAATGGTTGAGCATGGATGATGATTGTCGAGAAATATGCAGAACACATGACGCCTCGAGCGGCCTATGGGTGGATGAGGATGGCATATACTATGATCCCGCAACTGACCAAGAGATGGCGGAGCCAGGGCAGGAATATTGTCGTCCCGAAAGCTGGCAAGTCCAAGTCGATAAACGCAGGTGGGATGGTGATTTGGGGCTTTGGCGGGACACCTCATCTTGCCACAGTGCTCCCTTCCACAAATTTGCCATCGACAGACTAGCCGACACCACCTTTGGCGACAACTTGGACAAGCGCGCAGAAAACGACCCCGGTCTACAGGGGGAGCGTGATAGGGCTATCGAATTACCTGCCTATCCACCTGAACTATGCCTCTTGGAAGAGTTTGAACATCAAGCCCGAAAACTCGGACGAACCAAATGGGCCTGGGGGACTGACCGCGAAGGCGACGTCTGGTACTGGGAAGTCCTCAATGATAGCCCAGGCCACGCCACTCAAATCTGGCACTTCACTCACAGAAACGGCGAAGAAGCATACGGCGACGATCCGCTCGATTTCTGGCCGGACTGGGAGGGCGGCACATCTGGGGACACCGTCTCTGCGACGCCATTCGGCGTCAAGCTGAGGTCATTCGCAGAGACTGCCAGAAACAGGCGACCCTTGGACTACTGGCTAGGAGATTCGCAGCCATTAGGCAGCCAGATAGGGAGGGAATATGGCCAGCCGACTAGGTATAGTCTGCTCAGCGACCCTTGGTGGGCTCAGAGGTAGAGATCGAGTGGCTATTTTCCCAGGCGTACGTTTTTCTAAGGGGGACTCGAAGAGCCTATCTTTGTTGAAACAGGTGCGCTTGATGAATGCAGGGATGCTGGAATGGACATGGCGGGCGGATTTGCCCGCTCGCAATACTTGACCAGGTCTAAATATGTCAAGTAGTTGAGGGCTAGGAATCGCGCACAAGTTGGACCGGCAGCAACGCACGTTGAGGAAGCTGTTTGGATGACGGTCCCTTGGGCGCCATTGCAACCAGGACGGACGTGGACGAGGCACTACAGGGCATTTTAATGAAGCGAGCATATACATGTATCAAGTCTTTCTCAACGATGAACGCCGTTAGTATTACGCATGAAAGCTTAGATCATGAAGACGCACTCACATTGCGGCATCTGGAACTCCTTCTCAACACGCAACAACTAAGCCACCACACTAATAACTTGCTGCCCGCTGTATATACGGGGAAACAAGACATGTAATGGCATGGTGTATTCTTGGTGAAACTCCTTCCCTGGCAACGGCATGGCATCATTCTGCATCCAGTGCTTTGTCCATGGCCCCAGGAATACTTACTCCGTCCAGAAGTCCAGAAGCTGCAGCCGTACTTCATGGCGGGACGCAGCATCATGCAAGCGTCTGCTAAGCACTAGGTCATTCCCTCTCCCACGCATGCCAACCCGGGCCAAGGTCGTCACGCTGTGTCCAGGGACTGACTATCTCGTCATACCATCACTCACAAACACCACGTCCCCCTCGTAATGCTCAGCTTCGCCACACGTCCGTCACCCATTCTTCCATTGCACTTGGTAGCATGTGACTGTCGCAAATGTCGAACCATTTTCGCGAGCTGATGCAACACGCGCATTAGCATCGGGTCCGTGATAGGCCCGGGCTTCTCACATTAAGCTGACCACATTTTGCACACCATCTCTCTGTTCCCCACTGTCTGTGTGGTTTGACCCAGAACAACGGCTACTGGGCGCCTTCATTTTAACTATAACGCAATGAAGCGCTTTTGTTGTTCTTTGGCGCTGCCATGTCTTGAATCTAGAAGCCGTGACAGCAGGGGCAGTAAACTGCCCACGCCACTGGCAAAAAGTGAGCGTCTTCGGGACCAAGTGTGGTATACGTGGACCGCATATTCGCCGCCGGTGGGCATGCCATGATAATACCAAGTGTTCTCGTGAGCCCATGCCCCAATCATTGTGGGTGTAGCGTGGATGGATACCCTGACATCACGACTTTTCGTATCGAGTGTTCACTTACTCTTTGGACGATATTGCAGAGCATATGTATAATAACGCTGGCATCATTGGCAGTACCACTGTACCAGGACTTTTTGGCATGTTGCTCGGCGGAGAGCCATCTTCGAATTCCAAACATGACGCAAGCACATGGTGTGAGAGCAATCCTGAGTCCGCTAGGTCATCATCTTCATTCCTCTCACCACACCTTGCTTGCGTTTCGGACGATGCAAAGAGTGGAGTCGGTGACTGTGTCCTCACGATAACGAGGCGTCATTCAACGGGGTTCAAACTAGAGAAGATCGCCGAGGCCCGTGTGCCGACATCTCCGCCACACTTCCCGAAGCATCCGCAACAGGTTTGCCATGGTTGTTCGCTGTCGCCTGACCACACCATGTTCGTTGGCTGCCCCTGGCTCTTTCTCTAGTGGCCCAGTTCTGCATACGGGTAGTTGGCTATGTGGCTGCTTTCGTAGTACCATAATTATTTGTTGCCATTCTCAGCCTCAACTCGTTTTTTTTGTGACTGGTGCTAGCTTGCCTATGACATTTGATGTGCAAAGCCACCTATTCAGAAAAAAGAAAAAGCAGAAATAGACAAAGGACGCCATGTGGCGGCGATGTTGTCATTGCCACTGCGCGATGCCTTCGTGATGTGTTTCCTCGTCTCGGCAGGACAGGTCGCAACGAGTCACGATAGCACATGCTCGATATCCGGTGTGTTCGCATGTCGAGAACCTGACCTACTATATCCAAGTTCTGAGCTGACGCTGACAGGCCGGGTGGCATCCTCCATTGCAGACCATGTCAGAGTGCGACTCGCCCAACCCAACGGAAGCTCCCGCCGTGGGTACGGCAGCGGCGTAGACGCGGAAGTCTAAAGCCACTCCCTTGTGCTCCTGGCGACCTTCCTGACCGCCGGCCGCGCTTTCGCATTTTGATTATGCATGTTGGTTTTGTTGTTTGTCTGTGGAGAACATAGCTGGATCAAAACCAGGGATAGCATTTCCAAGCATGTCAGAAAAGGCACATTTCGGAAAGAAAGGAAAGAAAGAAGCCAGAACTGATCTAGCTGAACCCAGAAGCGCGCCAAGAATTGTCACCAGGTGATACTTTGTGGCTGGAGTTTGCAAGCCTGCCGCTGAGCACCACCACGGGGTTGGTGGCAGCATAACGCGGGGTGCAGGATCCTCACAGTTCGTCAAATCGTTGGGTGGTTGACGGTGCTTCAGCCATTGTTGGACCGTCATAGTCGTGATTGGTTCCGGCATCAGAGGCGGCCGATGACGGTCACGCGTTGACTCCTCCTTGATGACGGCGACAATACGAGAAGGACGTGAAGCGCATGAAAGCCGGAACTATTACCCTGTCCCACAGCCAACCTCCCTCACCATGAGAATACCATTGCAGTGTAAGCTATACCACATTATTCCGTATGATACGAGGGGCTATGTCAATAACCAGGACAACTGATCAGATGTCACAGTGTTTCATGAGCCGGGCCCGCAATCTCGGATCACGATACACGTAGCTACGCCGCTGTTGTTATCCTTGGGCAGACTAATAAATGTTGTGGGGTAATGCGACGAATTCTTCTCGTTGCTTCTTGCAGAGGCTGAAGCAGAGCCGGAAGCTACCAACTGGTTTGGGTGACGAATCTTTATTACAAGAGTGATTCTGGACGATGGGGAAGTCTTGTACATCTTACAATTGAAAGAGTACACAAAAGGCTTTCAGCCTCGCAGCTGCTCGACAGAGCGAATCCACATTGAGCGTAGAGCCGGAACAAGAAAAGAATCGGCGCGCTCCTCGTGTCGTAATTTTTCCGTCGAGAAATAAAATCCCAAGGACTTGCCAGAGCCCTGATTAAAAGAAAGAAAGGAAAAAAAACTGATGAGTCGTTTAGGGCTGAGTCAGGTGCTCATTCATGAGTGGTGTTTGTATGACGGTGAGTAGCGCTGACCGAGAACGGTCGCTTAGCTGATCATTAAAGGGCCATGGCTGCATTTGTGTTGCGCAATTTTGACTTTTCTACTCAGCATTTCGGCTGAAGGGACCAAGGCAGCTTCAACCAGCCGACTTGCTCATGTCGAACATCTGAATCATGTCGTAGAACGCCTGCCGGCGAAGACGAGCCACACCAGCGGCTAGGTACTTTCGAAACCGCAAGACCTAAAAGTGGTATATGAATGGATAAACGTTGGTGTACGCTTGAACCATGGCTTTATGCGGCTAAAAAATAGAGGTTCAATGTAGTACTCCGTAGCTGGGTTTTGCTTACGTCGGTGGCGGCCCATGGCATTCACCCGATAAGCTCGACGGCAGTATGAATCTTCCCGTCACTTCAGTGCTTCACTGTCTGTTGCGCCAATCCATCAGTGGTACTTTGGCATTAGACTGACTGGGTGAGAGACGACACTAGGCACTAGCAGCTCCTGTCTCCATACGAAGCACTCGATATTTACAGATGATCATCTTCAATGTGCTCAGTACTCCGTACCATATCATAGCAGGGTTGGACCTTGTGCGTTTGTGCCGCGGCGCGGCAGGTGTTGGGCGTTGAGCTGGCGTGTGCCACCATGAGGCTCCATGGTTGGTAAGGGATGACTAGGCTTAACCAATCTTTTTGATTCCGACGCTCGGTTGCTTCCTCAGATATAAGTCCGTATTTGACCAGGTCTCCATGTTTGGCGTTAGCTCGTGACAATTATCTGGTCTGAGGGCATTCTGAGAGCACTGGCCATTCTATCATGCATGAACTCTGCGGCAACCTGACGTTGCGAACGGAGCCCTTGTCTGGAGTCAATCGGCATCAAACCGAAATGCGTAGGAAGCCACCTGCAGGTGTGAGGCGAGATGATTGAACACCAAAGCAACGACCCATGAATATCGATTGCAAAAGGATGGCATTCTTGGTCCGGATATAGGGGAATGCAAGAATCCTTGGACTCTGTCGTACTCTGTGTCTTACTCTTCACCGGATGATACGGCATTAAGACTAGTATAGTCAAGTCGATGAACATCAATCCGGAGAGGTGAAGAAGTTCATGGTGGATGGAGAGAGGATGCCAAGTGCCGCGCACTGTGGCGACGATCGGCGGTCACAGGGGTTAGCTGGGGACAAGCAGGTTGGAGTCTGGTTTGCTCTTGCCTTCTGCAAGGCGGAACATCATCTTCTAGTTGGCAACTTGGGAAGGAGCAGGGATGTAAGAGTGATTGAATGCATCACTCTTCCAGACCTTTCACTTTTGTAGAATTCCAAGACTCTGAGCTGAAGTTTCGTCCGCCAAACTCCGAACTCGACATTCCCACTCCATCTCGACCTGATTGTCTGGGTTCTGTTTCCCGCTACCAAGTGTTACAGCCGAAGCGCTCGTCGTGCCGGTCAAAAGTACGGGTGCGTAGCAGCAAAACTGGGCCAAGCTGGGCTGCCAACCGCTGACGCAATCATAGGCAGGATTTACCGGGATCTTGGGGTGGTATTTCCAGCAGCGAGTGGAATCAGCAGCGACGCCTTGAACCACCTCGACCTCCTATGTACAAACACAGATATGATGCCGCTGTTCATGAGCTGCTTGAGATAGCACCAAAACTTGTCTCGGGCTACGGACTAGGGGAGTTGGGAGCGTCCCACACACACGAACACCCACCACAGGTTGCATGCTTAAGGTTGGGTGGCGAGGGTAGAAACTGTGCAAGTCCTGAGCAATACATTCGGTTCCCATGCTATTGCCTCAACCCTGGCCTGGCACGC